TCTTTTTTATGTGTGCAGAAAAGAAGAAGGAGATCACAACCAAAGCTTATTGACAGCTGGGGCGAATTTAAAACAAGAGAAATGAGAATGTAGATGCAGATGTGAAGCAATTAAGTATTTGCACCAGAAATAATTGGACTATTGGGATTTAAAAATACATTAGAAATATAACCTATCTATTTACATATATGTAACTGTGGGGTTTTGTCTTCAACTTAGAAACAGTAACTCTGGTCCCATACTATATTTTAAACTGTAGACTCTCTATAGGTCTATATACCTGGAATTGAAGACTGATGCACGAAAAATTGATTCATTTCACCCTTCTCAGTGACCAGTGTGGCTGTCTGCAAATATTCTGGTAATTGATTTTGAAGGATAGCTATGCTTTCCTCCAGATTATCCATTTCATTGTTTCAGCCATCATCTTATTTTGATGATCTTCTTTCTAAAATGCTACCTATTATTAAAGTAATTACCTCTGAATATTTTGTTGCAACAGTGCCTTATAACATTCCAATATCTTAGAAACAACATTTATTTTGATATGTTAGACAGCTAGAGTATGTGATTAGAATTAAATATTAAAATGACAAATTAAAAAGAGTGCTAATTTATTTTGTTCTGAAAGCTTATTAACTGAAGGAATCTCATATTTTTTATCTATTTTGAGTATCTAGTGTCAGCAATTTCATGTTCATAGCACACCTCATTAAGTAAAGCAATTTAACAAAAAAACCCAACCTGTATCCAAATGAATGCTAATATCTTATAAAACTACAAATAAAATTGAATTTATATGAAGAAGTGTTTGTCTGTGTCTAGACACTAAGTAATCATTAATTTCCATGTTTCCTAGAAATAATTAGAGAATTTTATTTTGCCCAACCTTTGGATTTTCAAGAATACCATATAAGATTAAAATTTTAAAGGTAAACAATAAATTCTAATTCCCCCCCCCCAAACCACAACCTTTTCTAAGGAAATGTAGTGCTATTTTAAGTCAGTTTGCCATTTCTTTTCTTTTTCTTTAAGCAATTTTCATATAGCTTCATATCAAAGTGTTCTCTACATACATATAGGTGAGTTTTTGAAAGTAGGAAGGAATTTGAACCTTAGTAGAAAGTCATAATAACAAATAATGATGTTCTTGTTTTTAATCCTTGGCTGAGGACATTTTCATTGATTTTTAGAGAGAGGGGAAAGGAGATAGAGAGAGAAACATTGATGTGAGAGAAAAATCGACCCATTGCCTCCTGCATGTGCCCCGACCTGGCCAGGGATTGAACTCAAAATCTAGGTATGTGTCCTGAGCAGGAATTGAACCCTGAAACTTTTCAGTGTATGAGACAGGATGATGCTCCTACCAACGGAGCCACACTGGCCAGGGCAATGATGTTCTTTAAGCAGTTATAACATGTTTGAAGGAAAACACTTCCCGAATCAATCAATCAACAAATACTACCGTTTGTGAGATCCTTTTTGAACCCAGTAGCATCAGGGGCTGTTCATTTTGGAAATGGCTTTCTCTAACTTGGTGGTCATCTGGAAGTTCCAGAATTCAATCTACCATTATATATAGAACAAGTTTTTTTTGTTGTTTTTTTTTTAAATATATCTTTACTGACTTCAGAGAGAGGAAGGGAGAAGGAGAGAGAGATAGAAACATCAATGATGAGAGAGCCATTGATCGGCTGCCTCCTGCTCGCCCCCGACTGGGGATCGAGCCCGCAACCCGGGCATGTGCCCTGACCGGGAATCGAACCCCGATCTCCTGGGTCCTAGGTCGATGCTCAACCACTGAACCACACCGGGCCGGGCAAATTTTTTTTTAAAGACACATGCATAATGTGGCCAATTTTCAGGGAAGAAGATTGTTTTTAAAGGAATTCTGAAAGTACTTTGATTCTCATGTGATGTGTTTTTGTTAAACAATTACTATCCTTAATGTAGATAAGTCTTTTGAGGTACACCTGCTGCTCAGGAAGTTGCAGCTCTTTTAGTGGGCACCCGCTGGCATCTGTATAACTGACCCTAGGTTTTTTCCCACATGTGTAGCTCTTTCTCAAATGTCTTAAGTTATTTATTTATATAAACATATATTTGCTTATTGTTTGTTTCTCCAACTAGAACATAAGCTTCATAAAGGCAGAAGGGTTTTTTTTGTGTCTGTTTTGCTTTATGCTATTTCATTTTAGCAGCACATCGAACAAAACATTGTCCTTAAGGAACTCAGTCATTTTGTTTACAATGCTGAAGAGCAAGTGAGCTAAATTCCATCAATTTGGGATTTAAAAATATTGAAATTTTAATCAGTCAGTTATTTTGCATTAAGACTTCTGGTCTCTTTAATGTGGGATTATTTGCACAAAGTTTGATTTAAGGATCAAAAGTATAATAACTATGGGTCACTTAGAAAAATGCTTGCCACAATCATTCCATTGCTGTTAGTTACTTGCCCCCAAACTCCATGTGTAGTTTTTTTATTTGCCAGATTTATTTTCAGATTTTAAAACTTACTTTTATTTTAAAGATACCCAATACACGCATATGATTCAAAAGCCAAAACTGTATGAAAATATATACCTTGAGAAGTTTTCTTCAGCTCTCACTTCTATCACTCATTCCTTCTCACTTACTTAGGTAATTATTTTTTTTAATTTCTCATTTATTCTGCTAGTAAATCTTTGTACACATAGACTTAAAGGGCCTATTGCATTAGTAATATTTAATGCCTTTTCATTGAGATTTTTCATACTTGTACCTTATACATTTAAAGCAATATCTTTTATTTCCAAAGTTCTTGTGCTGAATTAGACTATAAATTATAGTCTGCTGTTATTGGAGAAGCAACATGGCCTCTGGAACCAGACTGACTTGAATTAATGTCCCAGCTCTGCTACTTACAAGATGTGTGATTCTGTGAAAATCAGTGTCCCTGAGCTAAATTTCACCATCGCAAAGTAGAAACAATAACATTTACCTCTTAAAGATTAAGTGAAATGTGGTAATTTTAGAGTTGTAACACTCAGATCTCCCTTCAAGAGAAACTGCCCCTTTCTGTTAAGGGATAGCATATCCACCACCAATAAAGACACTGTAAAGTTTTCTCACCTACAAGGCAACAGATGCTCCTTCAGGAGCTGCCCTATCTCCTCTCCAGCCTGTTAGGCCAATAACTGCGGAACTAGGGATAAATCTCAGTATAACCTGGCTGGAGACAAGCTGAGTCTCATGATGGAGGAAAGAGACTACATCCAAAGGAGCTGCAAAAATTAGTTAGCATGTACCAGCTGGATCCAAAAGAATGCCCCTAAGATTGGGTTTTGAGGTTACTTGATCAACTGGGCCAGTATGTAAAACTGAATATGCAAGAATTCATTGAATTGCATGTCTTTTTTTGTTTTTGTTTTTGCTTTTTGGAACATAGGCTTTAACACTATAACAAGGGTAAGGATGGAGGGTGTCCATGGGGACTTGATTTGCAAGGAGCTATGGGGATGGTTAGTGGCATCTCTGGGATCAAAATAGATGGAAGGTCAATAGGGAGCTGCATAACATACACACAGAAGATGGTAAAAATGAGAAATCTCGAGTCCGAAGGAAGTCACCTCTATGATCCCTTGCTTAGTTCCTGGCCCTGAACAAATTTTTTGATATGAAAAGCATTGATTAAAGAGATGAGGGTTCTACATGGCAACACGTAGAGCGTGCATAAACATTTCATTTTTTATATAGATTTTTCTTTAATCAGCACAAGCAATCAAGTCTTATCTGTAAAACAGTGAAGATGAGGAAAATAACTTACTAATTCTGAAGAGGTTCTAATCAACCCAATAATTTAATGTCTTTGAAATTTCAGAGGTAATATTTTCCTTACTGTCCTGCTTGTAGTCACAATTACAGAGAAACTAATATTCATGTGTTGTCCTTTGACAGGGCAGGTGTGGTTTTTTTTCACTTATTTATTCTAATCTAAACTTTTCTCACCTGAATCTCCAAAATCAACAAGGCTCACATTTCCCACCATGGAACCAAGCGGAAAATGAACCGATCAGCATAATAGAGGAGCCCTCGCTGTTTCCAACAGGGAAGAAACCATGCCTCAAACATTAAGCAACACAGCACTTTTAGGCAGCTTTGCAATCCTTAATTTGGCATATATTCTTACACTACCCGCACGCCCGTATGTAACTGGAGACTAAATATTGGCATTCTTTAAGCTTCTTGTTTTGTGGCAAAGCAAAAAAAAAAAAGAAAAAGACTCTGGTCTGACTAATCAAGACAGATACACAATTCAGCTTTCATTTAAGAGACATGCCTTGGGAAGAAATGGTCTTATTTTGAAAAAAAACACAACCTTTTTAAAAAAATCAGATCCTAGAAGTGACTTCAGGGAGTTCACTAAGTCTCTGGGCAAATGGGTCCTGGGGCATTAGGTCTACATTTGTTTTAAAGAGATTTACATGTTCCAAAAACAAGTGATCAATAATAATACTGGGATGTTATAAAGCTGGATTTCAAAGTCCAACACATCTAGTCTGTGAATAAAGATGAATGTGTTTGAAAATAAAGATAAAGGGATTACTGAAAACTTACTTCTTTGGAAAGTCTTATCTAATAAATTTCAAATTGCCTTGTAAGATTCCACATTATTTTTACTTACTGCCAGTGGAAATACATTTTTACAGATCTTGCTTTGTCAAATATAATCTTGTAGTGGTTCCAAACCCCTATGCCTCAGTTAATGGTGTCTCTCAAATAGTACTTTCAACCATTTACAGGTTTGTGGGTCAATACATATTTAAAAACAGTAGGAAATTTTAAAATCAACTCCTGTCAACTCAAAGGGATAACAAAACTATCTACTTATGTACATGAGATGGTGATTGAAAAGTTCAGACATTTTTACTGTCATATTCCTGCCTCTTGAATTAGTTGTTAAGCATTATATTTAGCCAGCAAAAAATCAGAGTAGTAGAAAGAAATGTAGACATGTACATATTTTAAACACTTGTTTATTTTCAAAATTTACAGATATATGGTAGGGTCTGGTTACTGAAGATCATACTTGGGCCAAAGTCGGTATCAGGAATGAAAGGTTGGGCTGAAACAGAGAGTGAGTGCTTTCTGGTGAAGGTCCCCAGTTCCAACAGTTCCAGCGTCTTCCACTGTAGGAGGATTGTCTTTGGAAGAAAGTACCTGAAACCAAGCCAGAGGTACATTACTGAGAAAGGCTTCTTGGGAAATTTCTCACATGCAGTGAAAGGTTGTATTATGGCAACAGTGTAGTGTATGGTTGCAAAGCAGAGTAAATTCTGAAATGATGCCTAAAATGAAGGCGTGTTAGAATAGGTACTAATGGAATGGGTTTTCTCTTCTGCCTTGAGGTCCTCAGACATTGAGACAGAGAGTGGTCAGGACACAGTGGCAAGAGAGGCAAGCAGGGAACAGATCTAAACATATCACTGAGAGGGAAGAACTGGGGCTTTCTTTATAGAGGACATAAAATGTCCCAAATAATGATGTCTTGGAGTTTGGTGCATGTTCCTGGGGCTGAGTTGAGTGCTGAAGCCATATGTCATACTTTCAGAATTCTGCATAGCTGCCTATTTGTCTCTTGATTCTGTAGCATTTTAGGCTCCTTAGTGAGAGGCAATATTGCTTTAGAAACAAATTATTTTCAGCTTCATATTGGGAGCCCCAAGTCACATCTCTCCCTTTCTTTGATGAACATTTGACTATTTTCAAAGAAGTTAAATTTGATTCAAGTCTAGAAGGTGGAAGGAAGACAAATAGGACATATTTCTGCCTGCAAGAAACTTATATCCTAACGGAGGGATACAGACAAGCAAAACAGGACAATACAGTTTGTTTCATTCTCTGACGTATTTGCTGGAGGTGCTCTGCGAGGGGAGGTACACCTAACCCACATCAGGGACAGGTGGGACGGGGTCAGAAAACATTTTAAAAAAAGTAGTGGCTGAGATAAGTTTAAATATCAAATATATGTGCTTTTGACTTTGTGTACAGGGCTATCTGTTGAGTTGTGACAAGCAATATACCGTGGTAATTCAAAGATGAGTTAGTTAGAATGTCACACTGGGGAATTTTGATTTGATAGAAATGGGAGATCATTTAAAATTTTAATCTGGGAACAATAATATGGCAGAAATGTTTGTAAGGCTTTCTGTCAGTAGGGCAATCAGGTGAAATGAGATTGGAGGCAGGGAGGTAAGAGAGTGATTTGTTTTGTCAACAACTTAAGTGTGAAGCAATTGAGACCTGAATCTAGGATGGTGGTTGTAGGGAAAAAGCACAAATTGTCAGAATGTATGTCTGAGTTCTGAGTTTTTCTCAAATGTTTGTTGCTCAGGGATGATCATTTGATTGAAACTAGAGGAGAGAAGAAAGCCATAAATCAATCAACAGGAGCACCCACCTGATAATTGGTTCAAGGACTATGAAACTCTCTTGAGATGTAAATACAGGATTTGAGAAAGACATGGAAATAGGTGTTAACAGAGAAGGGAAAGTTGGTTCCAGGATGAAGGAATTGAGGCCCACTTACATGCTTATTTATTCCTTTAATAGTGCTGTTGCTGTTGTTTTCAGCATTATGAAAATGTTCTAAAAGAAAATAGGAATGACTATGTTTATGAAAAGATCAGTACCAAGTAACATATGACCAGGATACATTTGTGAGTTAAAATATAGTTTAACATACCTAGTAATTGGTAAATATTATTTTAATAGCAAATGATCTTTGGAAAAGAGTGGGCTAGGTGCAATTTGTTTCATCCCAGTACGAGGTGAGAATTAAGCCAACTTAAAATAATTTATCATGATAAATGGAGAAAAGGAAGACGAAAATATTTAATGAGCACTTATGGTATTTCAGACATTGCACTGGGCACTTTACTAGAACAAAAATATTTCTTGAATTTGAATGTGTACATGTTGCATTTTATCATTTTAGTTGAGAATGACATTAGCTCATCCTAACAAATAAGGTTATAGCAAGACAATTTTGAAAAATAGTTCAGAATCAAAAAGTAAATGTTCAGGTCAATTTAAAAACTTTAAGCAGTCAATTGTGAATGGCACAGTCTTGATTATATCTATTTTCTGCCTTTATTTGTATGCAGTTGTATGTGTTTGTGCCTGGGATTTAGGTTCAGTCCCTATAAGGATGGCAAATTTTGATCCTCCTGTTTGTAGAATCCACTTTCCGACAGGGCCATTTTTCTCAGAGATGGATAACCTCAAATTCATCACTGCCACGAGAAAATTAACAAATCAGTATCTTACGAATCTTAGTTTGCAATAACCATCTCCAAAGATGAAGGGCAGCGTGCAATTGCCAAAATATAAATGAAAACCAATATCCTCCTTCTTTAAACATTCTAATTTATCTGATTTATCTTTTCTGAAGTATTCATGATTTGAGGTAAAAAAAAAAAAATGAACTGAGTAAAAGCCTACTTAGAACAAAATAAATTGCCCTTTGATATCCAATGCAGCAACCCAGTATTTGAGAAAAACAGAACTTCACGAAAGCTTAATATATTCAGAATTTGACAAAGTGTGACCCATTTACTGAAGCGGAAAATGCACCACAGGTTTTTCAGTGTTTCTTTTTTTATTTTTTTCTTCCAAAAGCCGATAAATCATATTTACCAGCCAAAGAAAATAAATGCTTCTGGACTTATTTAGGGGAAAATTGGGAGAGAAACAGAGTGGGAAAAACACAAGAATTTTGACTTGGAAAGATACTCCCAAAACAAAATGTGGTAGGTTTGAAAAGATTTCTTAGTAATGTCAAAATATGGAAAATATTTGACAAATTTATGTAACTGAAACTAGTAGTTACTGCAGATCCCTTTGAGCTCTTTAGATACTGTGAGAGCATTTAACAGTTTATAGAAGCCACATGTTCACACTGCCATGCTTCATAGGAAACTTCTAAGGTTTTTGTTAGGATTTTAAATATACTGGAAAAAGAAAAAAAAAACACACAATTTAATGCAAAACCTTTACTCTGACATGTATTCTCCTAAGTGCTCATCTCTATGGTAGTACTTTTTACATTTTCTGCATGTACCAGTTTAATTGTTACTCCTCTTCTAGACTGTCAACTCCTTGAGAATGGGGAGCTCTGTCTTATACACCCCCATCCATGTGCCCAGTCCCTTGCATTGCAGGGAACACCTAATAGGTGTATGAACAAATGCTTGCCAAATATTAGAATGAGGAAGGGAAACCCAGAGCCCAGGAACAATGCTTTATAAAAAGGGTATAAATTAATTTATAGATTGAGATACATTTTTAATATTAATCAAGTGTTTAAAATTGATGAATTTGAACACTGATTATGTTTAAACATCTTATCCTTCCGAAAAGAACTCACATAAAAGAAAACTCATTTATAACTCTTAACAGAGTTAAGATAAAATACCAAAACCCATATAATTGTAATTAATATGACTTTAAAAATTCCAAGTGGTGAATATTATGTTGATAAGGTAGGAGAATGACTGAGAGATTTTACTTCTCAATCACATTTTAAGATTTTTTTATCTTTTAGATTTTTTTTAGAGTAATGCTTTAAGTCACAGTCAGAAGTGGGACTAAAATTTAGTTTTGTAACATTCTAGGGATTTTGTCTTTTTATTTAGTTCAATATAAATTTTAAACTACATAAAAGGATTAAAAAGTCTTTCAAATGCAGTTGCTTCATTCATTAACAGTCACCCCCAGTGGTCTGATGGATCAGATCAAATGTGGCTAGAATAGGTTGCGTCCACCAATGCCACAGGTCAAATTAAGAAAGAAAAAAAAAGGAAATAGCTTTTGGGACCCTTGAAAACAACTTCTAGTCTAAAGCCACAAGGGCAGAAATGATCAATAATCATGGCCATTTGGTTCATTCATTTCTTTTAATGAACACACTCTTGCTCACTAAAAACATTCTTGCGAGACAGGGATGGATTTCAATTCTCTGGTGACTGACAGAAATAGAGCCTTTGATCAAACCTGGAGGGGGTGGCTCGGCTCCCTGCCGTCTCCCTCCCCCCCATCTCTACCACTCGGTGCTGTTTAACTCAGGAAAGTGTGTCATCGTGGTACAGACTGACAGGCAGTTGATTGGCAACTATTAGCAAAATTCTCCCCGTGATTCTTAATGCAGTTTATTTTAGGAAAGCATCCCAAAACTATGGATTTGTTTCAAATATGTAAATTCTGATAAGCATAGGAATAAAAACCTCAAGAAAAAATGGGCACTGAGCTGGTTTAATCATTTTATTAATATTCAGTAGGACCATTTCCATTTCTGAAGTCACTGCTCTAGTTCAAGTAAGCATTAATTTGTATGTAATAAAATGCTATTAATACTGTGAATACTTAGAAACTGCTTTTGATAGATGAACATTTGCATTACCACAGTAGCCTCTTACCTTGTTTCATTTATGCAAGTTTCTTCCAATTATTATCTATTTTATATCTAACTGTCAGAAATACAGTGGTACCTCGGTTTTCTAATGTCATCTGTTCCAGAAGACCATTTGAGTTCTGAAATGTTGGAAAACCGAGGGATCATAGGCCGAGAGCTGAGCCTCAGGATCTTGCCCTCAGCAGAAGCCGTGTGGTATGTTCGACTTCCGAGGTATGTTCGAAAACCGAAGCACTTACTGCCGGATCTACGGTGTTCATAAACCAAAATGTTCCTCAACGGAGTGCTTCGAAAGCCGACGTGCCACTGTAAAAAAACCAACAAACAAACCTCTCTTGAACTTCCAGCAATATTTAATTCCCTGTTTACAAAATTAGAGTTTGCTTATTTAAGGAAATCTGAATTTTTGTGCCTGAGATTAAATTTTTCCACCAGTTTCCTTAGGTGTTCACTTCTTCCTATCCAGTTAATCTCTTATTGCTTCACAGCATCCATGTTTTTCAAAGAGTGCATTTAAATTTTTTGGTGTCTATCACAATCTTAATTTTTTTTGGTGTCATAACCCCCAAAATGGCAGTTTAAGAATATCTAAAATAAATATACTAGCCTGTTGACAAACCAAGGATAGGTCTCTGTGATTTCAGAAAATGCCCCTTTCATGGATCTAAGGTCAGAGGTGACTTGGGCAAGAATGGGAGATGTGGGGGTGAAGGGGAAGTGATGTCTTTCCCTTTCACAGTTGCTTCTTCTCCTCCCTATTTTTAATGCCATGTCATCTGTCCATGAGAGGTTTTCATGTTCAATGGGATACGAAATCTTTTCAGAGCAAACAAACAGTGTAGTTACTAATCAAGAGTAAATGTACTGTAAAGAAGAAGGTTCTTGTACCCTTTAGGACAGTATGGATGGACCTGGAGAATATTATGCTAAGTGAAATAAGCCAGGCAGAGAAAGATAAACATCACATGACCTCACTTATACGTGGAATCTAAAGAACTTAATAAACTGATGAACAGAATAGATTCAATGACATGGAAGCAGGGATCAGACTGACGAATGTCAGAGGGATGGAAGAGGGCAGGTGGGTGGAGGGGGAGAGAGTAACCAAAGAATTTATATGCATATATGCACAACCCAAGGACACGGACAATGGTGGGGAAAGGGACTGGGGAGGGGGGTGGGACAGGGTGGAATGGGTCATTGGGGAGATAAAGGAACATTTGTAATATTTAAAAATAAAATAAAACAAACAAAAAAACAAACAAAAAAAGAGTAAATGTACTAAGTATACATGTTAACCCTTTAGATGGGCTTTCAGAGGTTCTAATATTATAGCTGCATATCACATGAAACTGAATTTTGTCCTGTCTTACTATTTCATGATGTGAATGGATCATGAGGATAAACTTAGATCAAAACTCTCAAAAGGCATGAGGGCACTGAGGAGACTTTCAAAAGTCTGCTTGTGTGGGGAGAACCTTAATGTGGACAAATATTAATCTTGGAGATCTTTGTTCAGCAGACAAAGAGTGAACACTTTTTCTGTGCCAGCCCTTGGGATTTTAATTGAATACTTTCATTGAACAAGATTATTTAAACTCTTAAGTTTCTAGTTTCTATGTCCTTGGAGAGTTTTTTTTTGAGAATAATATCATCTTTGTTTTCACAGCTCTGCAACATCAGTTATAACTTTCCACTTCATGGAGTCCCAGAGAATCTGGGCACATCTGCCAGTCAGCTCTATCATAGTGTCAACTCTATTATGAGAGAACAATTTCAACAATTTATGAGATCAAACACAGAAGCAAGTTACAGACTTTACTCCTTCATTAGTTTTTCCTCTCTCATTCCATGTTGGGAAATACATCTCTCACAGATATAGTCTCCAATTTCTGCCAAATTATGTCCTTAACTGAGTCCCAGACCTAAAATAAACTTTCTTGTTTGTCTAAATCATTCTACCCAGAACTGCCATATTAACATTTCCAAAACGATGCTTTATTCATTTTACTTCCATGTGCAAATGGCATCCCTACAAAATGAAAAACATCTCTCTTTATTTTATATCCGAGGACTTCAATAATTTAATTGCTTTTTACTTTACCAGTTTTTCTCTGCTATCCACCCAATGCTACATGACTCTTAAACATAATTAATACTTATCCACTCGGTTTCCCATAATCAGTTTAGCCACTTTATCATTATCTTCTCTAGTCCTGAATTTCCCTCCTCTTTTCAACCTACTCACATCAGCTACCCTTTCCTCTATGGACTTTACTGGATTTCCCCAACTAGAAGTTATATTCATTAGCAAAATACACATAGGGCTTTCCATCTAATACAGTGGTTCAAAATTTCAAGTGATGTTTTTTCACTCAGTCCTCAGGGGACAGTTGGCAATATCTGGAGATAGCTTTGGTTGTCACAACGGGAAGGTGTTATTGGTATCTAGTGGGTAGAGGCCATGATGATGCTAAACATCCCACAATGTACGAGATTGGTGTCCACCACTAAAAATGATCTGATTCAAAATGGCAGCTAAAAGTCCCTAACTTAATGCAATTTGACAGCTCTATTTCAATCCTGCCTATAATTTTACTTCTATGTCTATATGTTTAATCATCTGTACTAAGATATAAGCCTCTGGAATACCAGGACCGCATCTTATGCACAATTTTATTTCCTCAAAAGTCTTGCACAAGCTCTGGTATATGCAGCCATTCAAAAATATTTAAAAATCTTTATGATATGGAATACGTTGATCACCGTTTATTACAGAACAGCATGTAAGAAAAAAATACTTACCAATCAAGCTACATTAAGATCAATGTATACTTTCTTTGAAGGCTTTGACAATTCAGCTGTCATTTGAGGATCTTTTAATGATGAAAATCAATTAGCATTATGCTGGTAAAGAGAAAATTTATGAGTCAATATATATTTATTGTTGATAGGCCACCCTCCCCCAAGGAAAAAACTCACACATATTATAAACTTCACTGCATTTTCATAGGAGATGAAAAGTGTAAAGTCTGAGGTTTGCAGGGCTAGTATATCTATCTCTAATGGCGTCATCATCAATCTCTCCTATGGTAGAATTGTTGTTGTTGTTTTACACTATGCCACAAACAATTAATCTTTGCTTTATGAAAGTTTCTCAGCTGCTGGGTAGTGTGTGTTGGTTAAATCAGCTCTAGTTCATGTGCGTTCCTTTAAGTGGAGCATCAATAGCTGTTGGGCAAAATAAAACATTAAATTATCTTGCCAACTTGCTATAAATACTTGAAAATGATTGCTATTGGAATGCATAAACAGTTTTAAAGTTTCCTTGTGAAATAAGCTGATGCATTTTGCTTACTAATAGAATATCTATGTTTACATCATGTCAAGAATCTCCAGTATTTGGAAAAATGAATGGAGTTAATGGCCCTCTGCTCTAGACGACATGTTCAGGCTATTTAGCCTGATATTTCAGATCCTTCCTCCTCTGCCCCCCTACTTAATGTGTCTCTCACAAATGTCCTGCTTCAGCTGAATTATTTCATTTATAATCCCTTGAATATATCTCTTACTTCCTTTACCTCTAAGATTTCTGTTCTTTTTATTATTATTATTATTGAAGTTTTTTCATTATGTAATGTAATTTCTCCTTTTTCCTTTCCTAAAACCCAACTGCCTCTTGAGTTGTTGGTCACTCTAAGCCATCTATGTGACATGCCAACTTCTCTAAAAAGGTTCTCTTTATCTTCTAAACCACGCTTCTGCCTTTAGAACTATAGCATCTTATACCACTTAACTTCTACCATGTTGTTGTTATTATATTTGTGCATTACTATTTTTCATTTTCCACCAGATTGTAAAGTCCTAGCAGTAGGACATCTTTGAATCACGATCAACACCAGTACGTTGTCCTGTACATAACATAGCAATTATTCATTATGCAGTAGTTGAATAAATATTGAATAAATTATGGTTTTACTTTAGAAGTAGAAAATAGTGTGGCAGCCTGGTTATAAAATATGAAGTGAAATTTGTTTTTCCAAAAAATAAATGACAAGAAAAGATGAAGGGAGGACTGTGGCAGATACAATAACCAAAAGTGATGTGTGGACTTTGTTTGGATACTGATTTGAACAAACTAATTATAAAGGAATATCTTGGAAATAATTGGAGACATGTGTATATGGGATGAGCAATAGATGATATTAAGGATCTATGATTTGACAAATGCATGCTCATTATGTCAAAAATAGTTATCAGTTAGAAATGCATACTAAATTATTTACACATTAAATGTTTGATTAAAAATATTCCAATAAAAAAGTATGAGAGATAATAAAAAAGTTGACAATCTTTGAAGAAATATGGATAATTATTGGAGCAGAGTAAAGGATAAATAGTGTTCATTATACTGTATCTCTCTACTTCAGTGTAAGGTTAAACATTTCCATAAAAAGTTCAAAAATATATTAAGTGAAGTGCTGTAGGAGAATAACCTTTAGTCATTTAAGATGTTAACTATAACAGACTCCAGTAACTTGAATAAATTTTCATTTACAATGTTTAACCCAACACTTAAGAACCAAGTCAACATGTGAAAACATTACATTAGTTGCACAATGTCCTACTTCCTTATATGTCACTGAAGACTATTGGATGCTTACTGAGTTTGAATTTTTACCATTAAGGACCCCATTTTTATTATTCATGACTGTCTAATAGTCAAATAGTCAGCCATTGACCCCAAATGACTTACTTAATTATCCTGAGAACGACCGACAGCCCTATAAAAACCGAAGAATAATTTTCCCCCTTGTTTGCTGAACTGAATTCACTCATTGTCAATGTCATTGAAGACAAATGATGTGAATAAAACTTTCCTTTAACAGACATACCAGGGATCAGGTAAGTTGTTATATAAATTGTAGACTTGCCCAGCCGGGCGTGGCTCAGCTGTTGAGCATCAACCTAGGATCCAGGCGATCAGGGTTCGATTCCCGGTCAGGGCACATGCCCGGGTTGTGGGCTGCAGCCGATCAATGACTCTCTCATCATTGATGTTTCTATCTATCTCTCTCCCTCTCTCTTCCTCTGTCTGAAATCAATAAAGATATGTTTAAAAAAACGAAAAACAAAAAAACAACCCCCAAAAAACCAAATTGTAGACTTGGCCAAGTAGAACATGCTAAAGAAAGATGGCAAGGACAGAAAATAGAACAATAAACTTAGCTCTTGTCAAGCCTTTCCTACTCATTCCTGCCTTTGCATGTTTGTTGCCACTTTCCTAGACAAGCTCTCTTTAGGATTCCTTCAGGTAATGATTCAAAGCCTCTAACCTTGGTTATCTCCATTAGCAGGCCCCAAATCACACCTCCCCCACCAAAAGTATAAAATCTGTTACATTCTTGTGCTTGATAAAGAAACAACTTCAAAAAAGTCCCCTATGCTCCCAGTGTTCCACCACCAGTGTGTCCTTTTTTCTTTCCTGTGCACTCCAGTGCTTAAGACTCTGAGTGGCTCACCATTGCATACATATATATGTATAAATATATGGTCCATTTTTATTCACTCAACATTTCAGGTCTCACAAGTCTGTCTGGAATCTACATTCTATTTGTGACTTCTTTTAAGCACTTGAAACTGTAAACCAACAGAACCAATTTCACTTCCCTGAAAATACCCTGTACTTTTGGGCCTCTATTCTTTGGCTTATTAGTGTTTCTATTATTTAAAGCATCTCTTTCTATACATTTCCACTTGAGACCCCACCCATCCCCTAATTTTTCTTTTATTGCTCTGTAGCATAAAGGCTTTCTTGGTCCTTGTCAGCATCAGCCTCTTACTCTCTAAGTTTCTGCAGAGTTCTATCTATCTTGGGATTCTTTCCTCTCACTGTATTATAACATGGTATGAGCTTCATATCTCCAATCAGCCATAAGCTTTTCAGAACACAATTTATCTATTTCATCTCTGTGTCCCTAATCCCTGGCAGAGTGGTCTGTGCTAAGGATATGTTTGATAAATATTGCCTAAACGGCTGGTGGAAGAATACTAACAGTTTTATGCAAAGACAGTTAGAGATCAAGGCAAAGCAATGCTTCCACACATTTAAAACATTATGATGTTTAAATTCAATTTCTCAAATACATTGTCACCATTTAAATGAAGGCTCTACCAGACATTAGGCCAAGTGCATTCTTTGCGTTGTCATGTTTAATTTTCTCAATTCAATAACTTTCTAGATGAGGAAGCTGAGAGTTGGAGAGATTAGGTAACTTGTCTGTAAATGGCTTGATTCAAATCCAGGTCTGCCTGAAGTGAAACCTGTTACTGATTGGGGTTGTCAGCTGGGACCTCAGTTCTCGTGGCCACAGAAAAGATTTTAAGGTCAATGAAAATGGAAGTAAAGCAAAGTGGGACTTATTGAAAGTACACTTCAAATGAGGAGAGGTCCAGTTGAGAAAGACAATGGCCCCAAACTCCTGGGTTATATGGTTTAAATGAGGGACTTTCTGGGTGGAGATTTTCATTTGCATTCAGGGATGATTGACAGAAAAGGATTATATAATTGTATTTCTTCTGCACATGCCCTTTCCCATAATGCATAGAGAAAACCCCTTGGGGGGGGTGTCATAACTGCAAATTATAATTAGTCCAGGGCCCTAGCAAGGTTGCGTTGGGGTCACGTTATTTTCCTTGGTGAGACTGCACCAAGAACCGGCTGGTCCTGAGCTGCCTGCTGCTGGGCTGCCCACAGAGAGGCGGTGTGAAGGCAATGTTGGTCTGCACCCTGGTGGGACCCCAGGGCAGGCCTTCCCCCAGCCACTTATGTCTAACTTCCTACCTAACAATCAGCCTCGTCCCTATTTAAACAATGTCATCATATTCTAATATATATACCTAATATATATTAGACAGAAGCAATTTCTAAGCCTCACAAGAAAATCAGTTTCATTCCTTGATAGTTTCCATTTTAACTTGTTCCAAATAGTTTTGGTTCTTTCCAGAAATTCTTCGATCTTGTGGATAAGAACATCATGAGGATACTAAAATGTAAGTCTTTAAAGCCAACTCCAAAAAGGAATTTTAAAAATTATTTAGGTGACGCATGGCTCCCCATGGTGGCCACTAAAAAGAGTTCATTTTGAATGTGTAAATTCTGGTGTGTGTGTGTATGTGTATTCTAATATGTAGACATACACACAGAAATATATATGTATATATATTTTGATATATGTAATTTAAAAATCTTTAATTACAGGATGCATCACAAGCTAACTGCTTTATATCAGAAATTTCAAAAAAAATTTGAAAAGCTTTCTTCTGGGGACTAGGGAAAAAGTTTTCATGAAGGAAATATGGTATTTGAGTAATCCATGGAGATTTGGCATTGGCAATGGATAACCCTGGAATATTCATGTCAGTATTTTCCATGGCATTTCCTGGAGTGCTATCCCCACAAGATACTGTAGTATGTAGAAGGGGACAGAGGGGAAATCAGTGGTCAAATTGTTAGGAAAATTACATCCCCTCTTGGACTCTTATGAAGTATAATAGTGCAGTAAATGTTCAGAAATATTTGGCAGGAGAAAAAAAAAAGTTTAACTTTTTGTTTCCAACTCATTTAATAATGGATCACCCTTTCTTTATATAACCGGGTAAGTAGAACTGTGCTGTTTAGGCTGATGATTGTGATGATGTTCAGAATCCCTTATAGTTCTTGCAACAAACACACACATTGTAATGCTTTGAACAGTTTCCTGTGATTTTGTTGTGTTTAACATTTACAAGTTGTATGGTTATGGAAAGTTATTTGATCTCTCTGAGCCTCAGCCTCCTTAACCATAACACCTATTTGGGAGGCTGTTTGGAAGGTACAATGGTCCACGCACAGGGCTTACAGCCAT